TTTTTTTAGTGTGCCTGTTCATTTTATTCGCCCATGCTGCGAAGCGGCTGTCTAGGACATCCACAACATATACGTGCTTTCACGAACATGAAAAAATTTTCGAAATAAGGAGGAACTTTCCTACGTTATCCGCAATTTGAAAATATTTTTTAAAAAGATACCACTTAAGGCATGCATAAGGGGAACCATGCATAATTGAGCGTTTTTTTTTTTCTCTTTTTTTTTCCCTCTCGTTTGGATGCTGCAGTAAATTTCGGCATGTATATGTTGTGCTGTGCAGTTGACACTCCTTTTGTTTATTCCTCCGTACAGGAAACTGCAGATAGGAAGAGGGAGACTGATCTACACACAATCCCGCGTGTGCGCAGTTGTTTCTCTTGCCATGTTGCGCTAGTAAATAATTATGCGGCGTGGTAAAGGGGTGTACGGTAAAAATTACGCAAAAGGGAAGGGATCGCGAGAAAAGGAAGAAGAAATAAATCTGGTGGGCTTATCCCCAAATATGAATTAACCTTTTTTAGCCACATGAAACAAGGGCATACACATTCGTAGTTGTGATGCCCCAAATGGAAAAGCGTAAAATTAAAGTTGAAATTGAATAACAATGTTGCATTCGTAAAGAGTTTTACTTTTTCTTCCATTTTTTAAACAATTTTGCCACTTCTTTTTCTTAACGCGGTTTTAATGAAATGGAGAGATGAAAAAAATGCAAATGAATGCATAAGAATGCCAGGAGAACGGCGGGAAAACTCGAGAAGAAAGCAGCTAATGACACACTTAAACCATTTCGAACATGATAATTTCACCACTAAAAATGGCAAAACCACAAAGCCATTTCGCGCGTAGGAAGTTTTAACACTATGCCTCATACAAAATAAAAAATAAAAATACGTATTTTTTTACATTTTCCTGGTTTGCATGTGGCCCCCTAAAAGAAAAAAAAAAAACACAAAACGTAAAATATGAATAGCAGCATTGATCTGCAAAGATTGGAAGAGGTAAAATAAAGAAAACGGGAATAAATTAGCCAAATTGCCAACCATGCCTTCAGTGCCGAGTCAATCGAAGCGCCAAAGTTAGGAAAACGCGCAAAAGGAAATACATGCAAAATGTATGTATGAAACACTCCTTACACGCATACATTTCTGCGCAGCATTGGAAGCACACAGAGCGGCAGAGATTTGTTACTTTTTTTTTCTTTTGCGCACGATTAGAAAAATTTTGAAGGACCATTAACGGATTTTATAAAAATACACTTTACAGGCCAAAAAAAAAAAAAAAAGAAACATTTGTTTTTATCGCATCCTACCCAATTGACAAAAAGACAATTTTTATGTGCACGTAGGGAACTATCACACTACACACATGTGTGTGTACGCTCGAGCAGGCCGCATGTCATGAATGAAAAAAGCTAGTTGGCGCAAAATAAATATGTAATTGCAAGTAAATGAGGGGAGGGTGCACCTTTCGCGAAATTTGCGTAAAATATCAGTAAGCACAGAGGAGTTTTGCATTTTCTGCGCAGATTGTGTAAGCGTGACAGCGAGGCAAGCGGGGGAAAGCGCGAGTGAGAAGCGATGCCCGTCGGTGTATGCAGCGATATAGACACATTGGAGCGCAAACACTTGCAAATAAAGAAGTAAATATAAATATATATAGATATATATATATAAATGTACGCATATACATGTACGCTTAGGCGCAGAAGAGCCGGCTTTGTTACCATAACTATACTGGCCAAAGGAACACCCCGTGCCGCGCGCATGCGTGTGTAGACCAACCGGCATACAAATACAGTTAAGTACCTACGCACTCTAAAGAACTAACCGCATAAACGACGCAAACGAAGATGAGTATGTTGCACGTGGAGAAGATACACCAAATGGACAGCATGATGAGGCTGATCATGGGCATATTCCTGACCGTAGTGGGGTCAATATTTATGGCCATTGCGAACACGTTCATGAAGCTGGGGCTGAACGACACAAAGAAGAAGAAGTACATGTTTACCAACTACTCGTGTGACATGAAATGGTACATAGGATTTGTCGTGTACTGCTTCGGATCATTCTTACACATAATTGCTCTAGGGTTCGCCCCAGCAAGTACCTTAGCACCAATGAATTCATTTGGACTAATAGCTAATGCAATCGTTGCGAATATTTACCTGAACGAGAAGTTAGGGAAAATCGAGATAATATCCACGATGGGAATTTTCTTCGGAATTAGCATTTGTGCATGTGCTTCTTTCCTATGTGATGCTAAAGATGACGTGCACTTTAATCCCATTAACATAATCGAAAGCTGGAAGAACCCCTGGTACATTTTCTACATTTTCGTTTCCATTTTTTTATCTTTTTTTACATTAATATATCTAAATCACGAGGAAAATAAAATCATATCAGAAAATGAAGAAATATACGCAACTAAGAGATATATAGAGTTAAATATGTACGATGAGAAGAAGGACGATGTAGAAAATCGAAACAATTTAAACAGCTCATTGAATACGAAAAGATTAAGCGAAAGTGTAAATGTGTATCCAAAAACGATTGGGTTGTCCTATGGCTTCTTAGCTGGGTTGATAGGATCTCAGTGTGTGTTAGAAATTAAAGAAATTGTGGCGTTTTTAAATATCGGATTGACGAATAAGCATATCTATAAAACCCCATTACCCCACTTATGTTTTATCTTCCTCGTGATATCAATTTATCTGCAGATACATTTTCTAAATTTGGGTCTAACCAGAGGCGATGCCACTTTAGTTGTGCCAACCTACTACGTATTCTGGACCTTTTTCGGAACACTGGGAGGCCTGGTAAAATTCAACGAAATTGAGAACTTTAATTTTAATTCGATCCTTCTATTTTTAGTTGGTTTTGTATTAACAGTTTTGTTTATCTCTATCCTCGCTGTGCAAGAAATTGCCTTCTTAAGAAAGTACGTCGATAAAGAAGTACCAGATATATCACTGGACAATTTAGACATCCACGCTCAGGTTTTGCAAAATAAGAAGCTGTCAAAACAGGTTATATTAAACATGGGATTGTTTCCCGTTTCGCTGCTTGGTACAACAGTAGGGCGAAAAAGATTTCGCCCTTTATACGAGCGATTCAGGAGAACCAGGAGCATTCTCTCCGACACACACATAGGAGACCAGCACTGCGAATACTCCATAGACACCAACATATACAATGCCTACACATTGCCGTACGATATATACAACACCAATAAGGACTCTTTTCACACCAAGAAGAAGAAGTTTATGAACATGGACCAGAGTGTGGAAAATACGTACGTGTTTTGAGGAGATGGTTCTGGGCAAGTAAGGTCGGTGCGGATACAAGCCTCTGTTGGGATTTCGCTGTGCCGCCGACACTCTGCCACTTTGCTACTCTGCCACTCTCTCATTACAGTGCAACTTTTTTTTTTCCTTCCAAATGAGACACACGTATGTCCCCCTCCTCCATTATGGGTAAATTAGCCGACCCGGATCTATCGCCCCTCTGTCCTGCACGAACACCAATCGCGCTGCCGAGCGCTCATCCACCCAATGAGCGCGCGTGTGTGTTCGTGCGTATGTATACGCCTGCAACTGCGCGTTGGCAACACCATTATGTGCGTCCCCGTGTGTAAATTAAAAAAACACCCTCCTATCACACCGCGCCCACATAATTTGTTTCTTCCATTGCACAAAATGGTACTCACTTACCCACAAGCGAACCAGCCACTTGTCCACCAACGTGCCACTACGTATCCGTTGATTTCCTTTTTCTTTCCTACTGTTCTCCTTTTTTTGTTTTTCCCCTGACCAGCTTTTGTTCTTTTAAATATCTTTTAAATATTCGCAGTTTTTTTTTTTCTCTCCTATTTATTTCCCCCAATTTAAATATGTTTCCCTCATGCACCAGTTGGGCCTTGGTTCTTTTGATTCCTCCTTTATTTATCTGTGCATTATGTGCCTCAAATTTTTTGGACTGGTCATCGTCATTCGTTGCTGGGCATTCGTCACACCGCGGCATCGTCGACGTACGCCTATCCATTTTTCCCTTTTTTAAAACTTCACCCCAGTTCATTACCATATTTTTTCCTCCCAAAACACCCATTGTACAAATGTTATGTATATCCAGAATGAGCAACATATTGGTTGCCACATTTTTCCTTCTTCTATGTGTTCAAGTCTGAAAAATCTACTTTATGCGTTTTATTTTGGGAAGTTCCTGCGAATGCTACCTTTTTATAATGGCCACGTATTCGGCTATATTTAATTGTATTGCTATGTACGCGTTGGAGACCGCCCCCGGGTGTGCCAAACAAAATAGCGAGTCACAGCAGAGGCACTTGAATTGTTTGGTTAAACAGCATACCATTAGGCGAACGAATTAACTGTAAACGGTAGATTCGCCCATCTGTTGCCACCCCTACACGGAAAAAAAAAAAAATTAAAAAAACATTAAAAAAGATTTTTTTTTTTTTCGAAAATGCCAACTTCGAGTCATTTCCAAAGCCTCATTTATCACAGGTCACAAAATGATCGCGCGATCGCTCCCAATTTTGTTTCTCCTAGCAGCAACGATAACGATGGCAACGACAAAGGCCTTGCGCCTAACTAGGTGTACCTCTTATTTTGCGCCCCCCCCAAAATTGGCCAATAATAGGCACACACATGGCAGTAGGTTCCGCGGGCGGCATGTGGACAGACTGAGGCTCCTGGACGAATCAGTCAAAAGTATGGCCGCACGAGGGGTGTTCCCACTTGACCATCTTAACGATAAATAAAAAAATACGAAAAAAATAGGAATAAAAATAATCTTAAAATTGGGCATAGACGTGAGCTTAAAAATAGGCATAAAAATAAGCTTAAAAATAGGCATCAAAATAAGCATATACGCAAATGTGAATGTCCACTTTGCTGCCCTTTTTGTAGACAACGAGCACATAATCAAGTTAACGGACAACGCCCAAAAGAAAATCAAAGTAATGTGAAATAAAAATGGGTTATTACGACTAAAATGATTTCTTCTTTTCTCCCCCGCAGCATATATACCATGAAGGCGAACCGCGCATAAATAGACAGTGACGTTGCGCACACCTGTCATCCTCCACATATATGACTCCCTTTTTAGGAACTGGTAGGAGAGACGGGAAGTGATAACCTAATTCTAAAGCTGTCTGTAAAAAATGGAGGCTGCAAAGGGTTGCAGTACAAATTGAATCCCATCAGGAAGGTATGCATAGAAATGTTTTCATCGAAGTGTAGTCGAGCGAAGGAAGAACTAATTAAGAAAATTTAAAGAGCTCACTCACTCTGTTACTTACCTAGTTATGTTACCATAGCCAACACCCTTATCATCATTACAAATTTCTCTACCGTTTCCCCCCCTCTCTTTGAAGGACGAAATCGAGGGAGATGACTATGTGCAGCAATTTGAAGAATTAAAGTTCATTTTGTCCATTGATGCAACTAGCCTTATTTACATTTACAACAATATATTGGATTACAGCTACGATTTAATCAATGGTGGATTTAAGTACGTTTCCGTTATAGCATGAGTAGCATACTCCAGTTTGCGCCTTCACCCCAAAAGCTTTTATGCCGACGTTTTGCGGTGTACCGTACATAAATCTCCCTGTTTGGAATTATTACATATGCCATTTTTTTTTTTTTGCCATTTCCCCTGTAGGTTTATAAATCCAAATGCCACTAAAAAGTGTGGCTGCGGGAAGTCATTTAATGTTTAGCTGCTAAAGATATGACAATTTCTCTCCTTTTATTCTTTTTTTTTTGTGACATTTTTTAAAAAGTAAGACACTTTTCGGGTATCATTTGTTGACAAAAAATTACGTTTAAATGATTAAAAAAAAAAAGTGTTTCTTTTTTGAATTAAACAAATTGTGTCGTATATATGGACAAATAAAAATTAAAAACATCGCGACGGTCCTCACTTGGGGGTGGGGAGAAACGGCCTTGAGAAAATGTAAGGGAACTCAATTTGTGATCATTTATCTCCGCTGGAGCATCCCCTGCATCCACAATTTACACACTGCAAAACCTACGGAATATGAAAAGAAGCGCGATGGCAACAGTGTAGCCAGATAGACATATCACTGGAGTGTGTAATTCGCGCTGCTATGCCTACTTAACGTGGGGGCAATCCTATTCATATATAACGGCATGTGCGCAGATTTTCACATGCATACAACTGCACATTCCCCTTTCCAGTACTTACCCGATCGCCCAGATTACTTTTGGGCACTCTACAGATGCAGGTGTTGCTGAAGTTGCTGTCTGATATCTGGATGCACTTGAGGCAGCACAGGTTTTCATACCCCTGCTTCCTCCACTTTGATATGAGCGCGCCGTCGACGTATTTTTCCTGCACCAGGTAGTCATACAATTCCCCTGCAGAACGCACATGAGAGTTACATACATTGGGTACATATATATATAAATACATATGTATATATAAACGCGCGCTCACACCGCGTCACCAACCCGACTTGCGCACAAACGGAAGAGCAAAAAACGCGGCTGTTATTAAACCACCACTCAGAGGCTCGGGTTTGGCCGGGAAACTTACTTGATATTTCCTTGCGCTTGTAGTACAGCTCGTATATGTAGCGAGACGTTTGGTGGTTGATTTGAAATATGGGCCACAAAATTTCACTTTTCCTTTTCTTAGAAGTATCTTCGTTTTCCAAGCTACGCATTTTTTTGTTCATTTCATCTAAAAAGGATTCTACTTTACACCACCCCTCGGGTGGTTTCCTTGAATTCATCGTCCTGATGCGCGGCATGTTGACAGAGGCATGCTTCACGAACGGGTTGTCGCATTAGTGATCCATGCGTTTGGGCCCTTGGCAACTTGGCCAAATGGCCTCTTGGCGTTTTACCTGAAAAGTTCGTTTAAAAAGTCGCCACTCGGAAAGCGTTCTTTTCATGTACGCGTTAATTTAGAGAACGAGCGGAACCATTAAAAATTGTTTACCCTAAAAAAAAGTGCATACGAGAATTTTCCCCCGCTGAAGAGCCTTTGCGTACATTTCAGGAATTTTATAAAATTCGCTTTTGCCCTAGGGAGAAAAATTTCGTCACTGAATTTATGCTTTTCAGGGAACACAGAGTGGCCACTTTTTATCTTTTAAATGCTTGTTATACAAAGCTGTACGGGTAGCTTTACGCGAGGAAAAAAAATGGAAAAAAAATACATTGCGTTTTACTCACTACGCATTTGAACGTTCTTCCGTTTAGAGGAGCAAAAATGCGATACACAAATGGCAATTATGTAGAGTATAAAAAGGGAATGGCGCCTGGCGGTTGTTGTTGGTGGTGTGGTACTTTCTTTGCTTCACACGTTTTCAACTGTTCGAATAAAAATGTATGATATCTGGGGATTAAGATGAGTTTTCTTAATTTTTCCATTCTGTCCATGTCCACCTCAACATGGAAAAGGGAAACAACCTCACGAAGGCGAACAAAGGGAACGGACAATGGTCAATGCAAAGTAAACCAAACGAAAGTAATGAATAACCCCTGTCAGGATCTGTACTGTCTTTATTGAGACCCCAACTCAGCAACTACCTGCTGCTACGACACAGAGGCAAGCGTCTACAAGGAGAAATGCCAAGGAGCCATTGGAAGGTTTGTACAATTATGTGCTCCCTAATTGTAATGGGCGAAGAGGAAGCCATGTCAAAACATCAAAAATACATTTTTACTCATATTGTTACCGATTAAAGAGGTAAAAATAATACGACAATTTGTGTGTGCATTTATTTTTATCACCAGAAGGGGGTTCCAAATTTTATGAACGAAAAATGGTTTATCTTGAATAACATCAGTTCTGCATTTTCGTCGACGAATTTGAATGCGTACATTCGGAGCGGAACAGTAGCTATCCCGAAGTGTTGCCCTCAAATGTAGTCCTCTAAAAAATTGTGATTCCTAGGGAGAGATGCGCTTCATCAATTCTGTTAATGTAAGAAGTAGCCCTCTTTATGTCATTTTTTTTAAAGCTAAGATGTTCAAGTTAAAATAGGAGGAAATTTGCGGACCTCCCTTTTTATAGAAATGATGACTGCAGTGGACACATAGCTGCTTCACTCTTTTGTCAGAAGTCAGTGAAATGTATACGGAATTCCTAGATTTATTTCTCTTTTTTGCTAGGTGTTTTTAAAGGGTAAACAGTGGATGTGTGAAATTACGCGTACATATTATTGCGGATGAATGAGGCGTGGAATTCTTCTCACGAAAAAAGAAAAAAAAATTCAACACGTATTAATTGCTCATTATATTCATTTATCACAGTGTATGTAATTAAAAGAAGAAAGACCTTTCGAACAGTCTTAAAAAATTCGTTTTATTGCACTGTTCGGACCTTCCTATGTTCCCCTCTGGTGCGTGAAAAAAAAAAAGTACTCTTGCCACGTTTAAGAAAATGCTCTACTGAAGAAAGTATTCACGATAATGCTGACGTGGTGGGTAAAAAAATACATATGCACATTCTCTCGTGGAAAAAAAAAAGAAACCATAAAAATATTAATTAAAAGTGGTCGCGGTGTCAAGCGCAGCTTAGAAAAGGAGTATACACGAAGCGCCTTTTACTAAATGAGCTAATTGTATTTAAGACCACGGCGCATGTATTACAGAGGAACATGCTCGTCAGTCTTGTAAGTGAATGACAATAATTGGAAAACCACGACAAAGCATTCTTCCTGTATGCCTCTGCAAATGTATCCCCGTACATATGTGCTGTTGGCACTGAGAAAATGCTTCTACGTTGTTTGCGTATGTGCTCCCCATTTTATACACCCCTCCAACACATTAAAATAATGTAAATATGCTCCCATGTGCTGTGACTACATGTTTGTGGAAATATATCCAGCTTCGCTGCTGAATGATGACTCCAGACGAATGACAGTCACATCAGAGTGAGGGGAAAAAGAACACCCTCTGATCGAAAAAAGCAGTATGCCTTTAGCCCCCCTTATTGACGGACGCACCAAAAAATAGACCTCCTTAAAAGTGCAAAGAATTTTCCCGCCTTGTAGGAGATCATTCGGTTTTGTTTATTTTGTTTCGCCGGAGCAGTTTTATTTGTTTAGTTCGGTTCGGCTTTAATTTTCCATTTTTTTGGTTTTTTTATTTAATTTTATTCTGCTTTTTTTTTTTTTTTTATATTTTCTTCTAGCTATATTTTCGCCACCATTTGGCTACTTTTTTATTCCAAATAGCCAAAAGTGAAAAAAAAAAAAAAAATTGTCACTGTCGTATTTTTTATGCTCTTTTTTTCCTTTTTTTCCCTTTTTTTCCTTTTTTTTTCCTCTTTTTCTTTCCTCTTTTTTCATGTGCTTCTTTTCCATCCCATTTATATTTCGTGGAAGGAAATGTGCAAATAGTGATGTTCTGAAGAAACCACGCCAAAAATGCTAAAAAAACTCACCCCAAAAATTATTCATGTTTTTTTAACTGAAACAAAAAACAACGTTAGAAATTCACGTAAAATTTAGAACTAAATAGATGGTATCTATGAGAATAGTGAAATTAGCAAGATTGATATTTTTACATATTCCACACTTCCATTCTGATTCTTCCTTTTTATTTCCCCATATTTATTATTATTTTTTTTTCTTTCAAAGCGTGTTCTTATTATTTTAAAGCAGCATTGTAGTGTCCTTCATGTTGCATTTTCACCACATACTTCACTCATTTTTATTTTTCGCGAAAAGATATCATGATTGAGATGCTCCTGTATCCTAATAATTTCGCGCGAGCTTTGTTGGGATACTTGCTACGCAGATGTACACATGCGCCGGACAAATTTTGATGTTTGTTCGTACGTGTTTGTACACGGCGTTTAAGCAGACGTTTATGCTAGCGTAATCGTTTAAGTGAGCCTTATGCGCGATGTTTCCATGCTCAAGCACGCGTAGGCACGTATACGCTTGAAGCTATATATGTGTGTATATATGTATACATTTCCACGTTCAGTTGCCCGTCCTTTCTGTGTGTTCTTTCACACATATTACTTTTCCATACGCCGTTCACGCAACAGACTATTTTCATGTGTGTTTATATGCTGGTACATATGCATACACATGTGTATATGTTTGCACTTTTCACTTGTGCGAAGTCAGCAAAAGAGTAATTGCATTTGTTACACCGTACGGAGCTGTGTGCCTCGGTGTTCACCTAACATTACAATTTAAGAAGAAACCAAAAAACGGAGGTACAATATATATCTACAGATATAAACACTCATGTAAAAATTTAAAAAAAAAAAATTTACACGCAGACAAAATTAGTAGATGATTTCGCTCCCCCCTTTTTTTTTTCACCATTTTTAATATACCCATCTACGTTATGATAACTTTTACAAAATTTTTGCGTAGCCCTTTTATTATTCCCCCCCTGCATGTGTATACATACATCGTTTGTCAAATTTTTCCATTGTGATTGTACGAAGAGTGAAGTTGTAGAGAAAGGCAGGATAAAATAAAGGCCTCTTTTGTGCCAGAACACGTGTATATGTACGCACGTATGTATGATGTGCATACCTTGTGAATTTGCTTATTTTACAGCAAAGTGTAAAAATTGTGTGTTACATTTTCTTTTTATGTATAAGGGGTAAAAAGGAAAGGAGGCAGAACCGATTTATTCCACAATTACCAGCTATTTTTATGAAAATCAAATTCACCTTATGATATCTATTTCGTATCGTTGATGAGCCATTGATTTAAATTTATTTGTATTGCTTATCTGATTTGCAAACATATACGTGCTTCTGTGGATGTATAAATTAAGGAAGCAGCCGAACGAGCGACCTACCTTTTGCCCACACCCAAAGGTAAACGTGCGTAATGGCTGGTTGGCAAAAATTGGTTAAAGTGGTCCTACCTTTGTTCCTTTTCGTGCATCTCTACTGCGCCTATAAAAGTTCGATTATTCATATGTGTGATCTTTTACGATAGTGGCGTTGTACGTTTGGATGATGTAGAGAATTGCAAACTAAAAAAAAAAAAAAAATATACATATATATGCATACGTACCTATGGGCATGTGATGAATTCATGTGTCCATGTGCTCACGTCTCCATATACCAGCTGACATAATATAATCCACGCCGTAGTTGCCCCCCTTTCTACACCCTTATCCACCTGAACCGCCACTAAATCGAAATAATGGAGTGCCTTTCGCATGACAGCCCAAGCACAAACGGCGGAATATGCAGCAAGGAGTTAACAAATAGCAGTGGAAATTCTAAGTCGATCGAAATGCATGCATATAAAAGTAAAGTCGAAAAAGGCCCCAACTGTGAGCAAAATGGATTAGCAGCAATTAGGACAAGTAACAGAAAGAACGAAGAAAGGAAGAACCAAATGAATTACTGTACCGATAATGACCAGGGTGACAATTTTAAAGTGTTGCACACTTATTCAGGTACCAGTCAGAAAAGCAGAAAAAATGGGCGCACAAAGAATTTTTCAAAAAATAAAGCAGATTTCAATGATTTCTTTTATGAAGAAAAAGATGCCAATAGCAGTTATGTGGAGAAGTCGAAACGCCCCAATAGGCATTTTCCGCATGGGGGATCAGGAAGTAATAGAGGGTTTAACGACAATCGCCTGAGAAAAGGCACATCATCAGGAAATTGCAGCAGTGGTAATAATAATATCGGGGTGCACAATCCTATCGAATCGTTCGGGAAGAACTATTCAGGCTCAAGAATGAATGTGGTAAATGGTGCAGATGAAAAGTACGCAAAACGGGTGGCGACCAATAACGAGAACTTAGTGCCAACCGCGAATAAATCACATTTGGACATGGTGTATAGTAGAAATAGGAGAAGAGGTGCAAACTCAGAAAAGCAGCCATTTGTCTTTACGAACAGACGGGGACAAACTGGAAGTTATAATGATCCAAATGGCACCATTTTAGAGTGCGATAACGACGATGATCATGGCGCCGCTGAGCATTTGGGCGTGGGTGGAATAATGTGTGGTGACCTCTGTGGTGACGTTATCGATGGCGAAAGCAACTGCCTCAAGGGCGATTTCCTCAACGACGGAATCCCCCCCAGCAAGAAAAGCAACTTCCTGCGAAAGAGTAAATCCCTGAACAGAAATAATATTTACGAGAGCAAAGAGGACGACAAGCGGCTGCTATCCATCACGAATAGGGACACCCCGGAAGGTATGGATTACATGAACGTGAGGAAGAAAGCTTGTTCTAATAACGAATTAAAATTTAAAGAAAAAAGAAAAGATGAAGCGAACTGCACAAATAGGGAAGCCAATTACGATTTTAAGAGCGCCTTAAATGTCCAATTCTCCAAGACAAAAATGTGCCCATATATGAACACCAAAGAAAAGTGCAAACGGTTTTTAAGTAATATGTGCCCCTATGCACACGACCAAAGTGAGTTAAAGCCATTTCCAGATTTGTACAAAACAGCCATGTGCCGTAACTTCATGAAAAATTTATGTACTAAGTCCAAGATTGAATGTAATTTTGCACATAATGTGGAGGAGCTCAGATCCACGGATGAGTTTTACAAAACGACATTGTGTAAGTTTTTCCTCAACGGGTACTGCAAGGCGGACACCAACTGCAGGCACGCGCATGGACACAAAGAGCTGAAGTGTAAAGAGGCGAAATATAAAGATGCGAAGTGTAGAGAAGCAAAACGTAAAGAGGTGAACTGTGAAGAGATGGAATATAAAGAGGTAAACTGTGATGGGATGAACTGTAATGAGATACAGCATAGGCACCTCGGCAGTCCGTCCTGGGAGAGCGACAGGGTAGGCACGGAGAAGACGAATAACCATGACGGGGAGGAGCAGCCACAGCACCCAGATCACCCGCTTCAGGAGAGTGATATGGAAGGGGAGGAAACTCTTCTAAACGGAGAAACAATGAATGGGTTCAAGTCGTCGGAAAGCTTCTCCCTGAGCGAGGGGAAGGAGGTAAGGATTATAAGAGAAGGAGAAGATGTTGCGGAGGAGGATATGCTTGCCGCGGAAAACATCCAGGAGGACGAAGCGGTAATGGACCTTATCGCGATGGAAGGAAAACACATATCAAACACACACGATAGGGAAAAAAATGATAGCAAAAACAAAAAAGAAAAATTCTACAACGCATCGCGCAAACTCATGTCCATTAGCACGAAGGACACGTACTGCTTTCTGTCCAATGGGCTGTCCAGAAATATGGAGTCATCCGAAAATTTCGATGATGAAGATAGGAGTGTAAGGACGAATGAAGATTCGACTCTTGCCCATAGCAATGGAGACTCCAAGATAAAAAGTTCAGAAAGCGCAAATAGCTATTTTAAGGGGGATCTTCACCCTGAGTATCCATTCAAGTCTAACGAAACGATGTACCGAATGGAGGTAAAGGATGAGGAAGTTAATCACTTGTGTGATGCAACTGGGAGGGAAGGCAAAAAGGGAAGTGACACAGGGCAGGGGCGGAACTCCGTGGATAATAATGAGGAGGTGACCACAATTGGACACTTTGCAGAAAGCCATAACACGACTGATGGAAAACAAGAAAGAGACAATAGTAACAAATTCACCTATTCAAATTCACACAGAGATAGTAATGTAGCACTGAATGGAAGTTTAGGTTTGAAAAAAGAGGGCAGGAAAGTCTTTAACGAAGATAATGCGTATGGACATAGAAGTAAAGTGAGCGTCGGTGGGGGAAAAGGTTCAAACGAAGCGACCATTCATCCCAAAATGGAAAGGAACAAAAATGGAAGGGGCTACATGAACCCTAATTTTGCCCCCATCGGTGGTCAAGGTCGCACAAGAAATTTTCAGGACAAAATGAGGAACGGGAAGTTAAATCGAAATATGCAAGTTGATGCCATCAAGGTGAACGATGAAATGTGCCCCCGAAGTGAGATGCACAGTAGCAGATTGTCTGAGCATGGGATGTATGGTTATGATGGAGCCGAGGGATACACTGGGAGTTGCGGCGGCAGGGACAGCAGTGGGTATGTGCCGGAGAGGGGAGAGAATTACACATGGGAGGATCACGCCGGGGTGAACCACGCTCGGGAGAACCACATGCGGGAGGACGACGTGGATGAATACAACAGGAGCGGCTACCGAAGAAGGGGATTTCATAACGCCGATAAGGGCAATGGCAGCTCTGTGAGCGGTGTAATCGGCGTCACTAACGGCGGTGACAACTTCCACAGCGGGAGTAACAACAACTTTAACGGAGACTTTGGTAACAGCGCCGATAACTACAGCAGCAGCGTGAGTAAAAATTATGGAAAAGGAAAAAGGGCGAATGGAGGCACGACGAGGTACAATGGCCACCCAGGCAGTAGGGACAGCAGCAATAACGGAGTGGCGAATAGGGGCGCGGCGAATGGCGGCTTTGCGGATAACGTCATGGCGAGTGGTGACTTAGCAAATAATAGCATGATGAGCTACAACGTGGTGAACAATAACCTCGTGAACAGCAACCTGGTTAGGAAAAACTTCAGGAGTAACCACCCAAGGAACAACACCCGAAATGTGAGAAGCAACGCGAGAAACAACTTGAGGAATGGCGCTCTGGCGAATTACGGTGCAAACACTAATGGCGCGAACACTAACGGCGCAAACCCTAACAGTGCATACCCTAACAGTGCATACCCTAACAGTGCATACCCTAACAGTGGATACCCTAACGATATTGTGGAGAATAATATGCACACCATGCATTCGGAGAATGTCAACACCTGCAACAACAATTTCAGTTGCTACAGTCCCAGCGGGAGTGACGCAAATGTTTACATGAACAGGAATAATTTTCCCTACAAGAATGTGACCCAAGGCAGCAATTTCAGTGGTGTTGGTAGAGCACTCAGCAAGATTGACAATACCAATTATGGCGGAAATTATGGCGGTCATTACGGCAACGTTGGTAGCGGTCCACTCGGCGGCAACAACAACCCGTACCTTCCACAGGACTATACTCCACCCATCTGTAACAATATAATGAACCAGAGTAAAAATTATAGAAGTAAGAAAAAGAGTGTGAAAAATAACATGCCATACCAAATGAGCAACAATGGAAATTTTCAAAACAGTAGCGGGTATGATCGTAATGGCAATATATATGATAAAAGTGATGTGAAGCGAGACGGCAATTACAACGCTCATGGCTTTAACCCCAGTGGTACGAAAGGAAGTATGAATAATAGCCACGTTGACGGGAACATTTATGGCGATATGTTTATGAATAATGGTCCAAGGAACAACCACCATGACAGTGTCAATAACATTTACACCTGTGGCAATGGGAATAATTATTACCCCTCCGGCTACGATACGAGCGGGATGCATGTAATGAATACCTCCCTTGAAAACAGTCCAGGCGTGCGCCACGGAGGCATGGAACTGAGTGTGCACAGTGGCCACATGTACAATACGACACGTGTGTATGGGATTAGAGATGGACAAAGTGGCTCGCATGACGGGATGCAAAACGGAGCGCACCACGGAATGCATAGAGCAGTGCAAAACGGAACACATTACGATGCACATAACGGAATGAAAAACGACACACATCGAGCCTTCAGACAAATGGACAAAAAAGCTCATAGCGGCAATATCGACCATATGCATGGAAGCAGAAATAGGAAGTGCCTTATGAGCAATAATGCCTATAATGATACGTACAAGGGTAGTGACGAAAATTGTAGCCACGCGTTGAACAAAGCGGACGAGGCGGACGGGGCTAACGGGGCGAACTTAGGTCAACCCTTTGCATGCGATACTGGTGTGCACGATGAAGCCAGTCTGGGAGGTGGCAGCTTCTTATGTAGGAAGCCGAGAGGTTGCTCCTCGAATAGTTTAAAAAGTGGACACATGGCAGAAGCAGGGAAACTAAAAAGAAATAATTATGATGAAACCAACTTAGGCTCAATGAAATCAGACCACATAGGCAAGAGAGAAAGGGAAAATAGGAAAGAGGGTCGCAGTGGTGAAGAAGGTGCAAGCGAGATGAGAGGCACTGCATACTGCACCATGTTTAATGCGAAAGATAACACGAACAATTCAGAACGAAACGCGCAGTTGCAGGATAATAATCGTGGTAACAGCAAAGAGTGCAATACCCGCCGAAACCGAAATGGAAGCAAAAATGGAGGGAACAATAACGGCGTGATGATGCGCCATTTACATGGCAGCACGAATCGAAGCACGCTGAGGACACTAGCTGCGTGCATAAGCCCCGTGAACGGACCAGCGGACCAGCCATCATTATGCGAAGATGGCCAAGTGGAATGTTCCACCCTAGAAAAAATGAAACCAAAAAATTATAATTCAACGGGTGAAAATTTCAAAAGTAATAATTTAAAAATTAAGAGTCCACGAAGAAGGGGTTCGCAAAATAGGAGAGCTCAACGTGAGGAACACCAAAGTAGGGGTCAGCACATTGGAAAAGAACAAATCAGAGGAAAGAAAAATCAGGAAGAGTTACACACAGAGCTACAAATAGCTGACCATCCGAGTAAAAGTGGTATGCTTAAGAAAGATAACAAAATTGAAAAATTTCTAATTGACGAAGAACCCCAAACGTGTGTGTCTTGCTATCAGTACATGACACATTCCACGCCGGGGGAAATGACACCAACAAATACATGCTGTTTAATGTGTGGCCAGGTAATAAAAAAATCGATCTCTTTGATGATCATAGAGTTATTGCAGCCACAGGTGCAACACCTACTTTCGGATGCCAACTTTTATGTTCAAAATTATCACGACTGATAAGGTTCCGGGGGTGAGTAGAGACAACGAGGGTGTTACGTTATAGTTGTATGGGGACACAACACAGTTACGTGCATGTGTGGTTAACGCTCATTAGGAAGGACGCACGAACAAGTGGAGAAGTCCGCATTAGTGGGGGTAGAACAGCCTCCGCAAATTGATTACTTTTAGAGAGCAGGTCAATGAAAAAGGAAAACCGCCCATTCTCCGTTACTGTTTATTTCGCGTTTATTTTGTTCCTACCCATGTATTTCGTTTCTTTTTATTTCTGTTTCATTTCCCCTTCATCCATGTCGCGGGCCTTTACTAATTTGTGTACCCCTTTTAAATTTTGAATTTAAGAGGAGTCACCCTGCTTTAAATATAAGATGTCTCCCTCCGGTTGTCCCTGAAAATTGTGTGGCCGCTTTCTGTTTTTCCCTTAAGTCTGATTGTGCCGATTAGGAAAGAGGACTCGCAGTGCCTTGTAATATGTACGAGCACGTACACGAGGGGAGGAACATCTTTTGCCGCACCTGTGCATTTAAACCCTTCATGCGTTGATTGTTCTCCTTTTTCCAGCGTTCCCACCCCCAACCGGGGCGGCCATGCGCAGTTGTATGTAGGTGAATACGTGTGCCCATGCATATGTAGATAAAAGCACAACACCAGTGCACGCAAGTAGGTGCGGCTCCACTTGCATATTCATGTTGCACTGATGCGTACAAACCGTTAAGGAGACCGCAGAAACTTGATTAATTAAAAACGTTAATCTTGATTATTCCATTTTGTTAAGCTAACGTCGTTCCTAAGTCACCATGCTGTGTGTTCCTCCACCGCGAAGAAGGCAATGTTTCGCCATTTTTGCGTCAACTTGAATTTTACAGTATTTTTTCGTCAATATTTATAATATTGCGCGGGTGCGAAGTAAATGTAAGCATTTTTTTCCGCCCTTTGTGAATAAGGTACATTATTAACGTGCAGTCATTTTAAGGGGAACTGAAAACCAGCTCAAAACTTGTTCACAGAGGTGGGCATTTATGTAGACAAGGTTAAGGGGAAAAAAAAAATTTTCAACCAGAACGAATAATCAATTCTTTTATAGTAACGTTTTTAAAACAAGGGAGAAGGGGAAAATTTTTTATTGATACGGCACTCTTGATGCTCACGCCGCTGAGCTAAGTAAATACGTTCGATTTTCTCCTACGTTAATATGCAAGAGTGGAACTCGCTTTTCGTAATCAACAAAGAGACACAAACCGTGGCAACACATAACATTGTGTTCGCTACAAAATAGTACAGGGAACCCTCTTCTCAACTTTTAGAAGTGGACAGTTTTACGCGAATGTTCCGTTTGGAGAGCCCTGACAGTTTTTCTTCCCCCCCCCAAAAAATGCTGCATCATGCAAACCCGTTTTAAGTTAATACATTATTTGGACATAATTCACGCCCAAACGGTATGCTTATCTTTTTTTTTTTGTGCATATGATAGCATCGAACAGAAATCCTTTTGTCATACAACGTCAGAATCACTACGGTGCATACAATTTTTTCTATATTTAAGGGGGATGTGGAAAATGGCCTTAAATTATTATTGCCATGAAGCATTTTTTTTTTGTCCTCATAATTCTTACCAAGTCGGGGGGTACAAAAATACGCACAAAAGCAGAAGGGTTTATTTTAATGCCTCATGTGAGAAATGAAAAAATTAACGTGTTAATTGCTCATTTTGGCAACGGAAGGAAATGGCAAAAGGTGAGTGAGTCCCCGTAAAAACTCCATGTATGGCTAAATGCAATTGTGTATGCATTAGCTGCGCGCGTCATCTGCGGATATCCACACCCGTCTGGAACGCCTATATATATACTTACATATATATACATACATATATAATATGTAGTTGTTTGCGCTGCCACTATGACTTGGGATGTTTTTCTATGGGCATTCTTGATTTGTTCATTTGGCGCCGCGTCGGGTGGACTGGGCGAGCTGGATAATAACAACAGCGGATGGCGCGCAATTTATTTAGTGGTGCCACAAATAAGCGCTTTTTACATGCACTTGGGGATTGGTAAGCACTTTCATATGGTTGCCTTTTTTGTTCGGCAACGCGGAGTGCCTTCAAAATACGCTGAAAATTTTTCTACCAGGTGAAAGCGGGGGGTATGTAAGAATGCGCATATTTAATATATCCACAATATGCACTTCTCGACTTATCGATGATAAACGTTGCTTTACTATTTTTTTTTTCGGGCCTCTTCAAAGATTATATTCGTAAAGTTGTACATAGTACAGGTATTTTAGCACTTTCGTGTATACATGTGCCGTGGCACGCAAAACGTGTGACCATGGGTTCAGTACAGTTTAGTTGAGTAAGGATCGCATTGGCTTACCCGCTGCGGGCATTGGAAGGGGAACGGGCCCCTATTGTTCGAGGATTCTACTGCAATAACTTTCATATGTTATAAAAGTGGGGCTTCTCACAATGCGCAGCGGCAAAAAAAAAAACTATATAAAAAAATTACATAACGGTTTTAAAAAAAAAAAAAAAATGCGTGATTATTTTTATAGATTCTCCCTATACCGTTTAGCGAAAATATTAACAGGGGGTCAGGAGGCCTCAAAATAAGCGAATTGAATTGTTGAAAAGGTTGTACAAATTTGGCATAATGTACATTTACGAAGAAAAAAATAGTGAAAAAATGAAATATTAAAAAAGAAGGTATACATGTATATATGCATATGATATATGTATAATGTTATATACATACTCGCATATACAAGAAAAACGCAAAAACGGCAAACAACTAGTAATGCCAATGACAGATACGCAAAGATTAGGAATAACAAAAGGAGGAAGAAGAAACCGCTAATTTTAAATGCCCCAACTCCCTATAAAAAAAAAATGCTCTACTTATTTTTTTTAATCCTTGATGTTTTTTATACTTGAGTAAATTTTTTTCGAGATGCATATTTTGAAGCCGCGAAAAAATATATTCGGAAAAGATAATGTTTCTTAATTAGTATAAATTATGCATATATGTATTCATTGTTTTTTCTTTTATCTTTTATGTTTTATCTTTTATCTTTCTTCTTTTTTCTTTTTCTTTAATACATTTTTCCATTTTTGTCATTGTTGTACATGCTTTTTATGAATATATTATTATGCAGTGGTAATTTTATGTTCCATAAACTTTTATTCTGTTAAAATAAAAGTTATTGATGATAGCCAAGCCTCCGTTTTTGAATGATACCACTTTGATGAAACAGTTAGGTAAAATGTTCACGACATTGTATAGATAAAGAATTCAATATTGTAAATTTTTTTTTTCTTTTCCATTACCACATTGTAGAGATTTTATATGTTCCACTTTTATCCGAATAGCTTCATTTTTTTTTGTTCCTATTCATGTTGCATTTTTCTGTGCATATAGGATTTGGCTGGCCAGCGTTGTACCACAGGAGTGCACATGAGCCACGCTTTGTACACGTTCATATGGCTGTATGTAGGTATATACATACGGGTACAAGTACATAAGTTTGCTTGTGCCCTTGAGCTTGCCGCGCGCCCTGCTTTGAAAGCCTACATTGTTTAAAAGCGGCTTAAGAGAGGAGCAGGAAAGGAAAGCATCTCGGTTTTCTCACCTGAAACTTTCCGCCCATGAACATAACTGTTTTATAAATACCCATTTGGCTCCTGAGGGTAACATTTTTGTATTCTAGCTCGACCCGAGTGTACACTTATGCATTGTGAACAGAACGCTTTTACGTCGGGCTTGGTGACCTACGTCTTGTTCCCCCTTCCCGTAACTCCTCTCCGTTAGGGAATTTGGGTGATATTGTTCCGTAGCTGTCCCTATGCTGTAAATGTGATATGTGCACAGGTACTGTGTATTCGTGTCAGTCGCTCGCGCGTGCGTCCGTGTGTTTATCGTGAGTTCGCATCAAAAACGTGCCGCACGTGTGATCGTCTCTTACGAGCCACCTCGCTGACATCGTAGGGTTATAATTTTGGCACCGCTTGTTTGTACCTAGCACGCCCCTTACTGCGTTTATGCCTCTCTCCCCACCCTTTGCAACCATCGAAAATGAAAAAGGATCAGAGCCAAGGGAGGGACAATAGCAGCAGCAGTAACAACCCGAGTATTAAAGATGAAGTGGAAAAGGAATTGAACAAGAAGGGGACCTTTGAATTATTTAAGAAGATAAGGACGCAGAAAATCCCCTTCTTTCTACCGTTTAAATGTTTGCCGTCAAGTCATAAGAAGCTGTTAGGCTTGTCCTTCGTGTGCGCCACCATATCAGGCGGCAGCTTGCCCTTCTTCGTGTCAGTTTTTGGGGTCATTATGAAGAATATGAACTTAGGAGAAAATGTAAATGATATTATATTTTCCTTGGTCGTCATCGGAATATTCCAGTTCCTTTTCTCCTTCATTTCGAGCTTCTGCATGGATATCGTAACGACAAAAATTTTGAAGACACTCAAGATAGAATTTTTAAAAAGTGTATTTTATCAGGATGGTCAATTTCATGATAATAATCCGGGCTCAAAATTGACATCAGACTTGGATTTTTACTTAGAACAAGTGAATGCAGGAATTGGGACGAAGTTTATCACTATATTTACCTACTCAAGTGCATTTCTTGGTTTATACTTTTGGTCCCTATTTAAGAACGCTAGGCTCACCCTCTGCATCACATGCGTCTTCCCCCTTATATATATCTGCGGTGTTATTTGCAACAAGAAGGTGAAGATTAATAAGAAAACGTCTCTCCTGTATAATAACAACACCATGTCCATCATCGAAGAAGCGTTAGTTGGCATCCGAACCGTCGTCAGCTATTGTGGTGAAAATACTATATTGAAAAAGTTTATCTTGTCAGAAAAGCAGTACAGTAAATACACGTTAAAGGCAAACTTCATGGAATCTTTACACATTGGTATGATTAACGGATTCATTTTAGCATCTTACGCTTTTGGTTTTTGGTACGGAACGAGAATTATCATTTCGGATTTGAGC